AAATGTAGATCACATAATTCACCCTCTTACATAACAAACCTTATTAGTGATCGTAAAATTACAAGAACCCTCCGATCATCATCACATCATCTATTACATAAACCACGAACATGTACTAGCACCTATGGTGACAGTGCATTTTCAATATCAGCTCCATCTCTCTGGAACAGTCTTCCACAGCTTGTCCGTGAGGCCGATAATGTTACACTTTTCAAGTCGCGTTTGAAGACACACCTCTTTTACTAATTTGTACGTTAAATGCGTAGCCCATGAAATCTGTGTAAACTATGCAAATAAGTTAAAAACTTCAATTTTAATTCTATCTTATTTATATAGTTTTTCATGAGCCTTCAAGGGTAACCATAGGAGGAATAGTACGATTTGTTGGAGGAAGCAATAGACGGTAAACACTCGAAGATAAGCATTTAATAATCATTGATAGCATGGAACACACCTTCTCTAATAAAGCATTCGAAATTTAAGCCCTATCTATTTAATTAATTTATTTAATTGATTAATTAATAATTGATTATTTAATTTTATTTGATACACATTTTGCAAAATATTGATTTATTTTATTAATGTCTTGGTTGTATCAAACAAAAACTGCACGCAATTGAATTGTTTGATTATTTATTTAATTAGGCGTGTACTGTATTTCAATATCATAAATATTAATTCATCCTTATTTATTTCGTGATTTACATATCTATTGATGCGTTTTTCTTAATAGGAAAAATATCGAACGCCAAAAGGACAAAATACAATTGGCAGCAGCGCAAAACTGAGAGTCAGCAGTGCAAAACAGAGTCAGCAGCGCAAAACTGAGAGTCAGCAGTGTGAAACACAGAGTCACAGTGCAAAACTGAGTAGTGCAAAACACAGAGTCACAGTGCATAAATGAGAGTCACAGTGCAAAACACAGTCAGCAGCGCAAAACTGAGAGTCGGCAGCGCAAAACTGAGAGTCAGCAGTGCAAAACACAAAGTAACAGTGCAAAACACAGAGTAACAGTGCAAAACTGAGTCACCGTGCAAAACACAGAGTCACAGTGCAAAACATTGGTGGCAATGCAAAACTCCAATGGCAGTACAACTCAAGTGGACGCCCTCTATTTTGAATTAAAGTTTCACAGCTTTTTTGGACGGTGTCAACAAGTGAAATGGATGACATTTTGGGCACTTGGGCACTCCCTGGGACCATTGACAATTTTTTTTTTTGTGGGGGGGGGGTGCTTATAAGCGTTACATTTAATACAAAAATTAAGTGTTTGAAATAATTAATAAACAGTGGGCTATGGAGAAGGCTAGTAGTAGGTACATGTGCCCGGGCATGTCAAAAAACAAGGCCTAAGTCTAGATGTATACCTAAATGCCTCGACTTCGTCGGCTTCTCAAGAAAAATTGTTTTCCTAAATAAATCTCACTTAACTGTCTAAATTTTCTGCTTTTTTGTCATTTCACAAAATGAGTTGCACTGCCATTGAAGTTTTGCATTGCCACCAATGTTTTGCACTGTGACTCTGTGTTTTGCACTGTGACTCTCAGTTTTGCACTGTGACTCTCAGTTTTGCACTGTGACTCTGTGTTTTGCACTGTGACTCTGAGTTTTGCACTGTGACTCTGAGTTTTGTACTGTGACTCTCAGTTTTGCACTGTGACTCTCAGTTTTGCACTGTGACTCTCAGTTCTACACTGTGACTCTGCGTTTTGCACTGTGACTCTCAGTTTGGCACGGAGAGTAGATAGAAGATCTATACCAGGGGTGCAGCGCTGCCAGGGGCCCGGGGGATGGAGCCAGGGCCCCCGTCGGGGAAAGCTGCCCTCCCCCCCCCCCGTCGGGGAGAAAAAGCACAATCCGTCGGGGAGAATATATATGTATTTTCAACATATTAGTAG